AAATGATACATTAATAGATAATGTTGACTTCGTTCCATTTCTTCTAATCATATTCTCATCTAAATCAATTGAACGTACATAAAAAGTTGGTGCAATAATACGTTGAATAGTTTTAATTTCGATTTTACCCTGTAATGACATCACCCTTTTATATTTTTTAGTTTTTTTAAATCATTTGTTTTATTTTTGTAATTTTTAAGATCATTCTTTTGGTTGTAATAAATAAATAAAGTTTTCTCTTTTATTTTTCTTAAATCTTTTTTTTAACAAAAACGAAAATGTTATCTTACTTATCAAATTTTGATTAACTCTTATAATAAACTTAGAATAAATGGTTGCTACTTTTATTTGGCAAGAGTCTAAGTTATGTTTCTAAGTAATTGACTTATTTTTCATTAAAAAAAGATTTATAAATTATGACCCAAATATCATTATAAAATGTATTTTTCATTCAAAAAGCAATCATTTAAGAAGACAATCAACAATAACGTTGAAGATGTTATTCACATCAGAAATATTTGCTTCTAGTCCATCTAATGTTGATTCACTCACAATTTTTACTACTCTAGTTTCATTATTTGATTCATCCATTTCAATTTTCTTAAGAGTAATAGCAGCTTTCTTTTCAGGAACTTTTGTATCAGTATAAGGTTGAGGTATATCTTTTCCAATCATATTTTCTAGTGGTAATGAATAGATTTCACTATTCTTTGTCACTGCACAAATATATTCAAGTCCAGTAACTGTTGTGTAAAATACCATTGATGTTATCTCTGTGTCTATTCTCCATACAGCAACTGGTTTTATTTCTCCTATTTTCATTAAGAAAACATCCCAATGTCCAGTATTTTTATTAACAAATGAATATAAATTTAATGTACGATGTGCAGCAATGAGAATTGGAGTACAAAGGAATGATTGATAAATCTTTCTAGAAAGAAGGTCATATATAATAACACCTTGTTTTGATTTAGTGAGAATATATTGTGAGTTGGATAAAAATTGAACTTCAACAGGTATAAATTCTTTACCATGTTGTTCATAAGGAACAGGAAGTGAAAATAATAACTTATTTGATAAAACATCCCATATAGTAATTGCTGTTTTAAACGAGACTGCCATAACACTACCATCTTTAGATATAGATGCAGAATATGATGGCTCTCCATAATAAGCACCAATAGACCTACATTTCCATGTCACATTCGATCGGACTCCTCCTTTTGTTTTAATTGTTTGTCGAGTAACAAGAACCCAAACTTTAAAAACATGATCTAATGATGTAGTAATTACAACTTTATGAGAAGGAGAAGATGTAATTGAAGTAACTTCTGATTGGAATGGTTCAGGAATACAAACCATTTGTTCATATGTTCCATTTTGTTTTTTTCTAAAGAATCTTAAATTACTTTCGTGATATCTTGATGACATATTTCTTAAATCATAAGTAACCATCCATTCATCATCTCCAATCATTGATGTATATTTAACATCTGCATCTGGAAGTTTTCTTTTCTCAAGTGATTCAAGAAGAACATTAGGTCGTGATACTTCAGCACTAGCAACACACCTATCACCAGATGGATCATAAAATTGAAGAATAGGTCCATTTCCTGTAGTAATAACTTGACCCTTTGGACCTGGATGAATAATAATTTTATCTGATTTAATTAGTCCTGCAATAATTCTAACAATTTTCTTTTGTGATAAACTAACAATAACAATTGAGTTATTTGCAAGTGATAATGCAGCTAATGTTGATATATTGTTAACTGTAATTTTCTTTATTTCAGCACCAATTTCTGGAAGATAAGATTGACTACCATCTATTGTTTTCCAAAATACTAAAACTCCATTATCTCCTCCTGTTAATATTCTTTCACCATTTTGAAATAATGCAAATCCATCAAAATTTTTAAAATGCCAATGGAATTTATTAATTGTAGGAATAAATTCATGAAACTCTTCATCTATACTTTTATTGAGTTGATTTCCTTTTTTTAATTCTTCATCACAATGAAGTAAATAAAATACACCTCCTTCACAACAAACAAAAAGGTTAGTATTGATTTTTGGATGAACATAAATATTTCTTATATGTCCTTGTACTTTAGTATGGTATTTCTTATTTTCAATTCTGTCAATAAGGAAAATATTATTTCCATTAAAAGCATAAATAATTTTACCATCTGAAGAAGGTGTTCCGTTGACAGTTTCTTTAATTTTGACAAAATCACTATTTACATTTATTGTAATAAGAAAAGCATGTGTACGTGATTTCATATAAAATACCATATTATCAAGTTTTTGAACTGACTGAACATCCTCAATAATTGTTTTCCATTGTTTAGTGAGAGTATAAGTATCAGTTGAATATAATGAAATTGTTCCATCAACTGTAATAACAAAGATACTATCTGAAGTAAATGTAAAGATTCCAACTACTTTTTCTTTTATAATTAATCGTGATATAATTTGTCCATTTGAGATTTTATAAAAATTTAATCCTTTTGGTCCTGACGCTACAATTTCTTCACTTTCATTAATAAAGAGTACATGATCAGTGATAATTCCCCCTCCTACTGTTGGCTCCATTGTTTGCCTTTTTCTTTAATTTTTAGGGTTTTCAAAAATTCTCTTTATTTTTATTTATGTTAAATATAACACTATTTGAATAGTAAAAAATATAAATGGATAAAAGCCAAACTAAATAGCAAATTATGTTTATTTGTCTATACCCAACTTGATGAGAAAAATAATTTTTGATAGGTGATGTAATCAATTAATGAATGAATATTATTGTTGTAGTATCAAGGGTTTAAGAATGATTGAATAGACTGAAAATGAGAATAAGTTAGTTAAAAATGGAGTTTGAAAAATAAAAATAAATTGTGCTAAAATAGTTAATTTTTGATTATAAAGTTTCAATGTTCCAATTGTATCAAATGGAACGTTCAGATTTAACCTTTCCCAAACTGATATTATCATTCTTAATCATTTTCATAAAGAATGTCACAATCTCAACATTATAAAGAATTAATAGAAAAAGCATATAAAAGAAAAATAGATAATTGTTTTCTTGTTCTTACTACACCTTCTCAGTTGAGACAAGAAGAAGAAATTGAAGGGGATGAATCTATGTCTATGTTTTTTATTAGTTATACAGAAAGTCCAACTTTTCCATTAGTCAATCCAAAAGGATCTTCTCTAATTGCAAATATTGTACAATTTGATTAAATTTATTTATGTGATTCAGAAGTTTATATTAATTAATTTCTCTCTTAACTTTTCTAAACTTTAAGTATTTTCTGTTGTGCTTAATTTATTTTTATATTTTTTTAAAAATAAAACAATAATACTCCCTTTATAGAATGTATTTTATCTCCTAACCAAGATTCTTTCTTTTTTAATTGAATATGACACGTGACCTAAATGAATTTGAAGGAGCAAGTAATAATAGTACTTCTCTCAAATAAAATTCTAATAAGAATGAATAGAAGTAATTACAAATTTAAGTTGAACATAACAGTAGTATTGATTTATCCTCTCTTTATTACTAAAACAAACACAATTAAAATATTCTATCATAATTCCATTATTTGTTATAATTTATATAACAACATATTTCTAAAATATAATATATATTTGATGAAATAAATATATGTTGATACAATTTATTGATTGTTTTCAAGTAAAAGTAATTATGAATATATAAATATTAGAATAAATTGTTTCCTAAACACTCTAAACCAATAAAACCTTCTATAATTCAAGTTAAGAAACTTCATTTTGGGTAACTCAAACAAAATAAATTAGTTATAACTCTTTTGTTATTGTCATATACTTCTTTAACAATAATTATTGATAATAACACATATTAACTGAAATAATACAAATAACACCAATACCATTAAAGTATTTTTGTCATTATGTATCTATCAACTTAAAGAAATAACTATTTGAATAAAATGGAGTTGTAGCGAGACTTAAAAGTAACTGTCAAAATAAAACATTATACTAAGTTAATATAAAAGAGTAAATTATTTAATTTAAACAAGTTCTATTTCCTTTAATAATTCTTTTTATATTTTAGTCGTATAGAATTATATGAAAAAATGAATTTCTGAATTGTTAGGTTTGGTTCAATTTTTTTTATCTTAAAAAAAGCAATATCCACAACAAGAAAATAATATACCAACACTATATATACTATAAGTCTATCTAATAAAAATGTGTGTTGACTAATTTAATTTTTTAACTACTTAAATACAACCTAGTCTTTTTAATTTCGTATAATTTTTATCTCCTTGAAAGATTTTTCTAAAGACTTAAAAACAATCCAATATCAAATCTATTGAAAACCATTTAAATCAAAAAAAGACAAGTGTATTAATTACAACATATATTCAAATGAATCAATTATTCTCTCTTACAATTTTGATTTGATTTATTTATTCTTTTAATTGAATTATTCAGTCAAACTGTTATTTTTAAGTTATAACTAATTATCTAAAAGTTGGTATGTCTTTGGTTTGGTTTAGATGTTGTTTCTTATTATTTTTCGTTTACTTAATCTTTGTAATGACATAGATACATTATACTCAAAATTGTTGTCTTTAAAACAAGAGAGTCAATCAACTTAGTAATAAATGAGATTATATATATTTCTTGTTATTCGTCCTAATGAAAAACCAATCTTTTGACTTTAAAATAGAATTTTATTAGTCTTTGCTATTCAGAGTGACACTATCTTTTCTTAAACATTCTACGAAGTAATTTAAAAAAAAATGTGACTCTAATTTATAGTTTAAAAGTATTGTCATTGAATAATAATTTTTTTTTGAATCTAAAAAATTAAAAGAATAAATGAAATTGTTTTGAGAAAAGGAATGGATTTGTCATAATTAAATCATTAATTAAAAGAATAATAAAATAACTTATGATTTATAAAAACACAACTTTCTTATTATCATATCTCAAAAAATAAAAATTCAATCAACATGCAATACCAACAACTTCCTGAACACCCTGAATACTCTCAACAAACAGCTCAACAATACCAAACGGTCCCTCCACAATATAATCCACAACCATATGTTGTTCAACCCAATGTTGACCAACAAGAAAATAAAAGTATTTATAGTGAAAACAATGAAAGTAATACATCTGCTATCTTGTTTGCTTTAGGATTCTTGTGCTGTTGTGTTTGGTGTTATGGGTGGTGCCAATATAGACACTCTACAAATAGCCAAGCCCGTATGTTTGCAGTCTTGTCAATGGTATTTTTCATTGTTTCAACAGTCATTATAGTCATAAGCATTGGATTCAGTATTGTTATGATTATTATTAGTGTCGCTCTAGCTGCAGCAGCTACAACTGTTGACCCCTACTAATGGATTACCTGGTTTTATCCTTTTCTGGTTTTTAATTAGAATCTATTTTGTGAAGAATCAAATAATCATAGTTTTAAAATAAATACGTTTTATATAACATAATTTGTATTTTTTGAAAGAAAATAAAGAATCAAATAATCAATGGAAGATGAAGAGTAATTGACTAAGATTTTTGAGTGGGAAAAGAAGGAAAAGTCTAATTTGTTCTAAGGGAATTTTCTTTTTCGATTTCTTCTTTAATGTCCAAAAAGAAAGAAAAGATAAAAACTAGAACTGAACCAGTTCGTACATGTCAACAGAGAAGGTAGTATTATCAAATACTAGACGAGATGCAATCTTCAAGCAACTAAAAAGCAAAAATGGAAATAACGTTTGTTTCCTTTTTTCTTTCGTTTCAAATGTGTTATAACAATAAAAGTAAAACTCTTCTTCAAGCTTAAAGTGCAAAAAAACAAATAAATAACATTTGAGTAGTATTGTTTTGAATGTGGAACTCCAAATCCTTCTTGGGCATCTGTTCCTTATGGAATTTTCATTTGTATTCAATGTAGTGGTAAGCATCGTGGACTTGGTGTTCATCTTTCATTTGTACGTTCAATTGATATGGATATATGGACAGATAAACAAATGAGCAATATGATTAATGGAGGAAATGATAAATTCAGGGCATACTTAAAGGCATGTAAAGTAAACATGAACGCACCATGGAATATGAGGTATGCTTTGCCACAATGTGAACGATATAAACAAATGTTAAAAGACATTGCTGATGGAAAAGCCTCCCCAAATTCAATTCAAGTCACTAAAACCGCACCAACAAGTCCACCAACAACTTCTTCACCAATTCAATCAAAACCTAATGTAATTCTTTCTGCACCAACAAAACCAGTTGTAACAAAAGTAAAGAAAAGTGCTCATCTTGCTGAAAAGAAAGGAAGTAGCACTTCTACGAGTGAGCCTAAAAAAGTTAAGATAGTTGAAAAAGCAAAAACTCCAAATACAACAACAATCTCAGATGATGAATGGGCAAATGCTGCTTTGTCAATCAATTCTAGTACAAGTTCACCATTTCTTAAACCAAAGAAAAGTCCAGTTGAAGAAGATGAAGACGAATGGGATACTTGGCAGTCACGACAACAAAAAGCTAAAACACCAACTCTTGCTACTGACAATTAAAGATGTGTAAGTGTAATTTGTTGATTCTTTTGAATAAAGAACAAACAATAAACAAGTACTTTTATTAATAATTTCATTTACTATAAATAAATAGTAAAGATAAAAAAAGAAAAAAGAGAAACTAAAAAAAAACAAATGAGACTTATTTTCATTGTATTTATCAGCATTTGTCTTGCAAATAAAACACTTGTTATTTTGGAGAGGAATGAAGACCAACAAAAATTTAGCCAATTTATTGAATTATTAAAGAAGAATGGAGATGAAGTTGAGATAATAAATAAAATGACATTGTTTCAATTATTTGAAAATGGAGAGAAAAAATACTCAAATGTTATATTATTAACACCTCATTACACATTTAAGAAAGTTTCAGTCAAAGAATTTATTCAATTTATTGATAATGGAGGAAATATGGTTATTACTGTAGGAAAGAAATACGAAGATGGATATAAACAGCTTCTTTATTCATTAGATATGGAAGTAGATTCTAATGGTAGTAATGTTGTTGATGAGAAGCACACCGTTAAAATTGGAGAATTTGAAATGATTTTCTCTAACAATGTTCATAACAATCAAAATATCTTTAATCAACGCATTCAAAACATTTTGTTTAGTGGAATTGGGTTATATCTTCCACCATCTCCATTTACATCATCTCTTCTTAAAGCACAAAATTCTGCTTCAACATCACTCTTTCCAAATGTTTCATTTGCACAAGAAACAAATATCACGTTAGTAGCTTCACTTCAAGCAAGAAATAATGCACGTATTATTGTTTCTGGTTCTTCATTATTGTTTAGTAATATAGCATTTGATTCAGTTATTGAACATCCATCATTGAATCTTATAAAATCAGACAACAAAAAGTTTACAGAAAATATTATTGATTGGGTATTACAAAGACGTTGTGTTATTAGAATGAAAAATATTCATTGGGAAAAAATTAATGGAGTAAAAGAAGTTGATTATGATCATCAATTAGTTATTAATGATACTATTAAAGTTAATGTAGAATTAGAACAATTGGACCAAGGAAATTATGTACCATTTAATGTAGATGATTTACAAATAGAATTTAAGTTACTTGACCCTGTCATTGTCAAAAATTTCAAAAGAATAGATAATGGAAAGTATGAAGTTATTGTCCAAACTCCTGATAAATTTGGTGTATATACTATGATCATTAATTATAGAAGACCATTCTTATCTTACTTAGAATATAAAGAAACTATTCCTTTAAGAACTTTTAGATTGACTCAAGTTGATAGATTCTTAACTGGTGCATATCCATTCTATGCTGCTTGTGCATCTATGGCTGTCGGATTTATTGTATTCTCTTTCATCTATTTGAACCAAATAGAAAAGAAGGAAATAAAACAAGACTAAATTAATTTTTATTTTCTTTTCAATTAATTTGTTTTGAGATAGATAAATGGTACTGAGAGTCTTTAATAATAGCATTTTTATTAAATGGTACAACAGAATAAATAACACCCTAAAAAATATAACAACACCATTAAATAATAAAATATCATCTATACAATATTCATAAATTAAATTTCTTTGTGTATTATATTATAGTGTGTATTTAATATTTGAGTCTGAAACTTACTTCTATAAGAATGGAAAATTATATGGATTCTACAACTAACTAAAAACATCATTGTTTTATATTTTAGTCTATGACAATAATACTAAAACGTTACTTACTCTTTATATCTGTTTAACTTTTGATATTTACTGTAATCTATTAATCAAATTTAGATGATAAAAATAGAAATTCACTAATATTTGATTCTTCAACTCATTATATTATATCTAATACATATTTTAAAGAAATAAAATAGTAATAAACAAATAAAAGAATGATATAATATAAATTAACATAATAAATAATAACTAAATGATAATTTACTTTTAATTAATAAAATAATTGTCTCTAAATCAATATAATAATACGGTGAAGAATAAATGAATGAAGAGCACTTTGAAAATAACATATAAGAATATTAGTTAAAGAGAAAATGATTTAAAATACACAATAATGTACCAAATAGCAAATATAATGATACAAAATATATATGAAATGAATAAAATAAAAAGAATATGAAAAAATATAAAAAAGAACCAATTGGTAATTAATATATTCAAAGAAGAAATTTTTCATATTGAGAAAGTCATTTTAAATCTTTTTCAGTGTATTTATTTTATTAGGTTTATTTTCAATATACTTGCTTGGTATTTCCTTTATAAAGCATTGATTATTGTTTAGTATTATTTTATCTTAATACTTTATTGGTTTAAAAATATATTTACAGTCATTTTAATACTCTTATGAACTTTTAGCAGCATTAACAATTTTTTTGACAATACCTGGGTTTGTTGTATAATATTATTCAATGACATGCTTTTAATTTCAGTTGTAGTTATTTATATTTTTTGTATCGTGAAAACAAATAATATTAGTTTTTTGATGTTACACATTCACTACTAAATTCTGCTATAGTCCTAAATTTTTGGTGATATATTCATCTTCTTAAATTGAATGATTGTCCAAAAACAACAAAAAGAGAAAATTGAAAAATAAAAAGAAAAAAGAAAAGAACTTAAAATTTATCAAAATGTCAACTAGTGAAGAAGGAGGAAAAAAGAAAAGTGGATTATCTATTAATATGGCAACAGCAAAACGGGAAGAATTAATAGATTTCATTCATGCATGTTCAGAACGTATTCAGGCATCAAAAAAAAAGATTGTAGAATTACAAGTTGAAAATAAAACTCAAACAGAAGAACGAGAACTTGCTGAATTTAGAGCAAATGTTTGTTGATTTAATGATATAAAGATTGTGGTTATATCTCAAAAAAAAGGAAAAGGTGTTAATGGATAATAGGACTTAGAAAGAAAAATTGAAGCAATTAGAAAAGTTCATAATGAACAAATTGAAGAATTAACAAATAAATTAGATGGTTTGGCTAATTAATAAATTTAAGAAAGTAATATTTTATTCTTACACATAGAAATTAAAGAAAAGTTGGAACAAGAAAATCCTGACATTAATGGAATTATTGATATGCTTAATGGTGCAATGGATAATGTTGAAGATGATGTTGAAGAAAAAGAAGATGTAGTAGTTAAAAACATGAGAAATGAAGAAACAAAAAGACTCATTGAAGCAAACGATATGAAATGGAAAACAGAAATGCTTGATTTCAAAGAGTCACTTCAAATTGAACAAAAAAAAGAGATTGAAAAATTAAAGAATCAATTTGAAGAAGAGAAGAAAGAATTGGAAAATAAATTACAACGTGAAGAAAAAGAAAGAGAAAAACTAAGTTTTGATCTAAAAAATACCAACCAATTGTTTAGTGAATATAAAACAAGAACAAACAAAACATTTGAAAGTGGAAAAGAATTTAGAAAACAACATGAAAATTGTGATGCTGAAATATTTAAATTAAAAGCTGAAATTGAAAAATTAAAATATGAAAATTCAAGACTAAAAGATGATCTTGAACAAGCTCAAAAATAAGTGAATTTAAAATAGAATTAAAAAAGAATGAATTTAAAGATTAAGTTAATGATTTTAAAGAAAATAACAATCAAATAATAAAATAAATAATAAAAGAAAATAATAAAAGAACCCTAAAAATAATTTGAACATAAAAAAATAAAAGAAATCCAAAGAAAATAATCTAAATGGAAGAACAACAAAGTAAAAAGAGTAAGTCAAGTGGTGGGTTCCAAAGTATGGGATTAAATAAACAAACTTTACTTGGAGTTTTAAAGAAAGGGTATAGAGTTCCAACTCCAATTCAAAGAAAAGCTATTCCAGCTATTCTTCGAGGAAATGATATTATTGCTATGGCAAGAACAGGTTCAGGTAAGACAGCAGCATATTTAGTTCCAATTATTAATCGATTAGAAACACATTCAACAGAAGGTGTAAGATCACTAATAATTTGTCCTACAAGAGAGTTAGCATTACAAACAATTAAAGTATTTAATGAATTAGGAAAATTAACAAATTTAAAAGCATCACTTATTATTGGAGGAAGTAAATTAAGTGATCAATTTGATAATTTAAGTAGTGGACCAGATATTATTGTTGCTACACCAGGAAGACTTACATTTATTTTAGAAGGAGCAAATATTTCATTAAATCGAGTTGAAATGGTTTGTTTTGATGAAGCAGATTTAATGTTTGAAAGTGGATTTAGTGAACAAGTATCAGATATAATGAGAATGTTACCACCAACGAGACAAATATTATTATTTTCAGCTACGTTACCAAGAAATTTAGCTGAGTTTCTTAAAAATACATTAAAACAACCAGAAATTATTAGACTAGATACAGAAGAACGATTATCACCTGATCTTGATAACTTCTTTTATCATGTTAAAGAACATGAAAAAGAAGGTCATTTATTATATTTATTACTTGATCTTATTGGTGATAAAGAACAAACTGTTGTATTTTGTGCAACAAGACATGAAGTTGAGTATTTAAATGAGATATTAAAAATATTTGATATTAAGACTTCTATAATGTTCGGTAAAGCTGATCAACAAGAACGTGAAATTAATTTAAAAAAATTTAGAAAACAAGAGACACATGTTTTATTAGTAACTGATGTAGCTGCAAGAGGAGTTGATATTCCAGAACTTGATAATGTAATTAATTATGATTTTCCTGCAACACCAAAATTATATATTCATCGATGTGGAAGAGTTGCAAGAGCAGGAAGAATGGGTAAATGTTATAATTTTGTTCAGACAGATGAAGTAGGATATTTGATGGACCTTCAAGTGTTTGCATTAGAGAATAAAGAAATTGAATTTGGAGTAATTCCAAGGTCATTTATTGATCCATATATTTACCAAATTCAAGAAACATTAAAAGGAAATTATGATTTAGAATTTTTAAAGAAAGGTAGTGATAATTCATTAATTATGTATAAAAAAAGTAAACCTTTAGCTAGTGGAGAAGGGATTTCTAAAGCTAAAGTTTTTTCTATTGACCAAATTCATCCTCAGTTTAAAAGTCAAGATAATAAAGATGAAATTCTTAAAGACCAATGGCTTAAAGGTATTAAAAATTATAGACCTAAATCAACTGTGTTTGAAATTGATTCAAGTAAATTAACTCAACAACAAGTTATGGCTGCTACAAGATTATCTCATTCTACTCGTATTATAAATGCTATCAGAAGAAATAAAGAAGAAAAAGAGAAAGAAGAAAAGGAACAATTAGAAAAAGAGTTAAAGGAAAGTGGAGCAATTCCAATGGAAGAAGAGCAAAAATCAGCTGGATATATTCCTTCTGTTCCTAAAAAAAGATCATTGTTTGACGATACGAGTGATAGGATTATTTATTCAACAAGAAATCCACTTGACTTTACTGTTGAGATTGCAGCTGATGAAGAAGAGGATTTAAAAGCACAAGCAAAACAAAGAGTTTGGGATAGAAAGAAAAAGAAATTTGTTATGGCATCTGGAGGATTGGATCAACATAGAAGAGAAATGAAAAAGAAAATGGAAGAAAAAGAAAAAGTTAAACAACAATTCAAAGAATGGAGTAAAACAAAAGAAAAGAAAGAAAATAAAGAGAAAGGAGCAAAAATGAATACTTCTGTTAAAACTAAAGAACAAGTATTAAAGAAAAAGATGATGAAGATTAGACACGAAGAACAAAAGAAAGCTGCGGATATTAGAAGGAAAAAGAATGAAAAACGATATGGTAAAAAGAAGTAATGATTGAATTGATTTATGAATGAACTTAAAAAAGTTAATTGAAGTTTATATTTTCTTTATAGAAAGACAAAAAAAAATGATTTTGAAAGAATTTTATATAATAAAAGAAGAGTTGATTATTGTTTACTTTTATTTAAATTAAAAAGGATAATCAAAATAAAATAAATGAATTAGATATTAGTGATTTAATAAAATACTTTAAAAATGGGTATTATCAATACCAACTTATTCATGAAACTTCAGACTATCTGTTAGTGTTAAAAATTCACCTATTACAACATGTGCTTTTATTACTATAAAAGTATCATATACAATTGGTTAAGGATTTATTGATATGAGAAATGTACAATATAAAATGAATTGAATGTATCAGAAGAAAGGTAGTTTGATTGTTGTGGGAATGTTTTTTTTTAAATACAATAACATTCAATTGCCAGTTAACCAATGAAATGATTCATCAAATTTTTTTGTTATTAATACATTTATCACTAGACGATGTAATTATCAAACTGATTTTTGAAACATAATTTAAAGACTATAATTAATGAATAATCTATAATATTGTACTAATCTAATATAATGTTTTATATAGATATATTTAACAAAACCACTTTTAGAAAAAGGTTTGAGGATAAAACAAGATGTTTAATTTTAAAAACAAAAGAAGAAATATGTAACATAATTAAAGTTTCTTGTACATGAGTATAAATAACATAATATATCAACATAAAAGATAAAATAACAAAAATGAAGATAGATATTAAATAATTTGTTTTATAATATAAAATTTATTAAAATAATGTTTTAAACGTATTGATTTTAAAAAAATAAATAATTAAAATAATAATAAAATTTTAATTAAAAACAAAAATTAAACGTTGAAGTTATAACTTGCACTAACTTAGTTTAAGAAATAACCTTACTTATTTGATTAGTCTTTTAGTAAGTTTAAAGTTAAAATAAACAAGGGAATAATAATTTAATAATTTTTAATTCACTGTAATTTCAAATTTTCTTTTTAAATATATTGAAAAATACATTTATTAATTTATTAATTATATTTTATCATTATACTATTATAAGTATTGAAAAAAAAAATAATATCAATAAAATGTTATTATCAAATATTTAGTTCAAAATAATTAAATTCTTTTCTTTATAATAGAAGATTTAATAAAATTCTTTTATTTTGTAGTTTTTTTTTGAAACTTATTTGAGTGGTAAGTAGTTGAAAAACATCAAAAAGAAAATGGACAATAGTAATTATTGTAAAACCTTTGTCAGTATAAACAGTAGTTTTATTACATAAAAAGTTTTTTGGTATTTATGATAATAATAGGAATGAATACTTGTAACAAAATAGTACTTGTTGTATAAGTGAAATTTCTAAAAGCTGTTTAAAAGAAATTAATAAAATACATAGCATTTTTAAACTAGCAAGTGATATTTGGTTTCAATTAATTAGTATTATATTTGGTTAAGAATTAATTATTATCCCTAGTTATTAATTAAGAAATCAAAGGTTAATAGTTATTTTGACTCATTCTTCCTTGTCAGACATTTTTAATACAATTCAGGGTAATAAAACAGTTTTCTTTAAAAAAAAACTATCTTAAAATGAATAAAATAATAGAAATTTGCACGTCATTAACGATATTAATAGCTATTAATTTATTTAATTGTTTTCTTTTTCAATAAACCTACTAAAAAAAAAAAACAAAAATGAAAGAAAATGGAATGTGGAAATTTCTTTTAGAAATAATATAAGTATCATAGATTCTTTAATTGGAAAAGGAATTAAACTAGTCTTAAATTGGAACCGAATCGAAGTAACTCTTGGAAAGAAATAAATTCCTAAAAAAGGGATCGAACGATATAACAACCCATGGAAAAAGAGATCTTTTTTACCATATTCATTAAACAATGGAGCATTACTCAACAATAACTTTTGTTGGACAAATGAATGTTGGGAAAACTGCTCTTATAAGAAGATTTATGTATGGAGAAACTATATCAAATTATGAGCCAACCATAGAAGATATTTATAACAAAACTTTAGAACATGAAAATAATACTTTTCATTTTAGACTTATTGACACTTCTGGAGATAGTCAATTTAATGTATTAAAAGAAGTACATTATGCTGAAAGTGATTATATTGTTTTTGTTTATTCTGTTAATAATAAAAATTCATTCATTCAAGGAAAAAGAGATTTAAAACAAATACTTTCTATTCTTTTAAGTAGTGGAAGAGAGACAATGCCTTCTATAATCCTTGTAGGAAATAAATGTGATTTGAAAAAACAACGAAAAGTCTCTGCTTTAGAAGCTCAAAATTTAGTTTCTTTGATTAGCGGTATTTGTCCTTGTGCTTTTTTTGAAACCTCAGCATTATATAATGTTCAAGTAAATGACTTATTTAACATATTTATAACTGGTGTTCCTGAGACAAAGAAAAATATGTTAAATCAACAATTAAATAATGTAAATCATAATGTTTCATTAATTCAATTAAATACTTTTTAATTATTATTATTTTATTTTCTTTCCTGTTATTATCAATTCTTCTTCTATAAAAAATTATTGCATATCCAACAACTAAAAATAATTTCAACGTCATAAAAGAATAAAAAAAGGGGATTGGGTTAAAATTTAACGCTATCTTGGTTAAATAAAAAAGAAATAACGTTAATTGCATTTTCAAATATTTAATAAATTTTAGTTTTAAAAATAAAAGTAATTAAATACACTTTCATCAATTTTATTATTTAACAACTATTGACTATAAGTATTATCAAATAAATAGATTCATACTAGAAAATAATGAAAGAAATGAAGTTATTTTTTTGTAATACATTATTTAAATCTCCAAAATAAAATAATAGGAGATAAATTTGATGAAATAAAAGAAATCCTAAATAAAATTAATAGACTAGAAGATTTGGTCAAGGGAAGGAAATGGTACAGAATAAAGTGCATCATGAAATTAAAAGAACATGATGAAGAAGGAATTAAAGTCAAAGCACTAGAAAGAATAAAATACCTAAAATATATGATGACAATGATCAAAGAAAAAATTAAATTTAATAAAAATGAAAAGAATCAGAATCAATACAAATAAAATAATGTTTGATTCTAACAAGAAAATTAGAATAAGGAAGAAACAAATAATGAAATATACCCAAATAACAATATTACTTTAGAATATTTGAAATCGTTATATGAAACACAGGTGATATTAAATAAAGAGAATTGGAAAATAAAACAAAACACGATATTGAATGAAAGATATATCAATTATAATAGTGTCATAATAACAATAAATGAAATAAATTTAAGTATAATGAGAATAAGTAAGTGGAAAGCACCAGGAATAGACACTATATATTAGTATTATTGGAAAAGGATGTCATCATCAAGAGAAATCATTCTCAATATCTTCAATGAATGGTTGAACTTCAATCAATACATCCCATTAGACATGGTAAGTGGAAGAACTTTATTAATCCACAAAGTGATATGAATGTTGTCATTAATTATCGTCATATCAGTTGTACAAATGTAATTATGAAAGTATTTACCTCCATATTAAAAGAAAAGATTCACAATAGACTTAACATGAATTGTGAATCATTTAAAATCAGTAAAAATCAATTGGGATGTAAGTTACAATCTTTAGCTGCTAAAGAAGGAATAATTAATAGTTTTATGTTAAAGCAGCAGAAAGAAGAGAAATACCCAAAATATGTTAAGTCATATTATGACATTAAGAAAACATATGACACAGTAAACCACGAATGGGTAATTGAATCATTAAAGTATTTTAATTATGAGTTTGTCATCATTGACATTATTGAAAGTATGATGACTAGATTGAAGATATTCATCGGCTATAAATTTAATGAATATCTAGGTAGTATTAAATTAAATAGAGGAATTTTACAAGGTGATTCCTTATCAAATCTACTCTTCATAATCCAGATGAATGTAATTTCTCAAATCATCGAAGAGAAATTCCCAAAATCAAATCACACATTATATATGGATGATTTGAGAATAATGACGGGAAGTAGTGAAGAAATGGGAATAATCCACAATGAAATTAAAGAAATAAAAAGTTACATATTGAAATGAATGAGAAAAAATCAGGAATGGTATTAAAAACATTAATGAAATACCAAATTGAATGCAGAACATCCCCGTAATTGAAGGTGATGACTTGTATAAATACTTAGGAATATGGCAGTCCGATGAAATAGATGACACCTTCAATTGTAAATCCATCAAAGAAAAAATGAATCAGAAAATGGAAGAAATAAACACTGATGAAAGTAGTAATAGAAGATATATTACTAGAATAAACACTGAAGTAATCCCTATCTTCAGATATTCAGCATCAGTTATAAATTGGAAAATCACTTAGATAAAATTGATTTGGAGATAAGAAAATATTTAAGAAAGGCAAAATACATTGGTGAAACTCCAAAGATAGGTTATATGTCCCTCTAGAAGAAATGAAGGATTAATAAATATAAGGGACGAATATGTTATTGAATTAGTAAGAACAGTAATGTACTACTGTACCAGAGAAAGTGAAATAAGAAATAACATATTAGATAGATGGTACAGTAAGAAAGGAATGTGGAATAGAATTAAAAAAACATTAAGTCATAAAATCCCAGAAACAAAAATAGAAGAAATAATAAATGAAGGGATAGAAAAGAAAAAAGAAAAAGAAGAAGTAATAGAAATAAAGAAATTAATGATAAATACATCAAAAAATGGAAGTGTCATCAAATAAGTGGATATTTTAGAAGATGGTTCAAGTCAAAATGAGTAGACAAAACTACTACAGTGAAAGCATGGAATTTCATCAATATTAAAAAAATGCATTTCTTCAATTAACTAAAATGCAAGATGGAGCAATATTTTGTTTGTATAGAAAATCAAAAATAATGAAAAATGAAAGATTGAAATACTGCCCACTTTGTAAAGACAAGATAGCAACAGTAGAACACATTCTACTATCTTGTATTTATCATAATAAATCACAAATGGAAAAACATGACAATATTGGCATAATCATATTGATTAATAAGAAAATAAACAGGAAATAATCAATATAAAAAACCTTCATATGAAACAATGTTCAAATATAAAGACATCACAATGATATTGAACAAACAAATAATGCATAAAAGTGAATGACAATACCACAAAATACCAGACATATATGTATTAGATAAAAAGAATAAAACTGGTCTAATATTTGATATGACTATTGTGGCTGATCACAATATTAATGGAGAATATTGGAAGAAAAGAAATAAGTATAATGAATTAAAGAATATTCTAATGAAAATAGAAAAATTAAAAGATGTCAAAATAATTCCAGTAGTAATTTCAATAAATGGATTAATAAATAAAGAAAGCAATAAACTAATCAAAGAATTAAAAATTGAAATTGACATCGAGAAAGAAGTAAAAAACCTTATCATAAAAAACATGATGAATGTCATGGAATACTGCTTCAATCACAACCAAACATACTCCGTAGAGCTGCTAGAAGAAGATGAAGACGAAGGGACGGGATTAGTCTCGCCTGAGCCAGGAAGAATAGAAGCTATTTCTATTAATACTTAATTAATTACTTATTTATATTTTATTGTCTTTTTATTCTTTTTAAATTTCATCATTTTAGTTATTCTCATTGAATTATCATTTATTTATTTCTTATTTTATGTTGAATGAATATTTCATCATCATTGTATTATTATATATAATTTCATTTATTATTAATACCTTCATTTATATCTTTTTCTTTTCTTATTATTCTTTCTTATTATCTTATTTCATTCTTTTTATTATTATTTATTATATTTCTTATTAAATTACTTCATCATATTCAATTATTATTTGATATTTCATTATTTGATTTTATATTAATATTTGTGTGTTGTTTATGATTTTCATTATTCATTTCTCTTTCATTTTCATTTAATAAAATAGAAGAATAAAAATAATGAAAGAAGATAAATAAAATAAGAATAAAATAAGATAAAATCAATGATATTGTTATTATATTATTATGTTATTTTAGTTTTGATTTTATATTTATTATTTTATTTTTATCTTTTATAATCATCATTCATTTCTTCTTTTTTGTCATTTCCTCTTTTCTAAACATCACTTAATTTCTTCAATTTCATTCTATTTTCTTTATTCCTGTTGTTATTTTATTTATTTCATCTTTTATCATTTGTCATTTCTTGTTTATTCATGTTTGTTGTATATTTTATTATTATTATTATTATTTATTTTATGTTGTGTTATTCTTATTTATATTTCTTATTATGTTTTGTTTATTATTGTTTAAATAGAAAATAAGAATAAGAATAAATAAAGAATAAGAAATAATAACATAAATATGTTGATATATTTTATCATTTCTTTATTTGTTTATTCTTATTTCTATTTCTATTATCTTATTCATTTATTCTTAATGAATTAATTCAATGAAATAATACAAATAAATTGTTTATTTATTCGTTTTATTTCTATTTTATTCTTATTTCTTTTCATATTTATTAAAAACACCGTCATTGGGTGTGAAAATTTCAAATGAAATAAAATAAATCAACATTGAATTATATCCATTTTTATTTCACCATTTCATTTATTGGAAGATGAATGAAATGTTCATATTCTTCATTGATTTGTTTCTATTCTTTTTATTTCATTTTCAATTAATCAAGATTGAATCATTTCATTTCAATTACTATGATTCGTTTTGGTGTGAAGTATTTTGGAAGTTGTTTTCCACAAAGTGCATTTGATATTCCTTCATATTCAAATGAATGTTGTTTACAATATGATTCTGTTTTATAATTTTGTTTACAAACAACAATATCAAATCCAAATTGAAACAAACAATCATCTGTTTGACTATTTAAACAAAATGCATATCGTGGTTGTTTAATATCAAATTTCTTCATTCCTTTCATTCTTCCATTTGAATTTAATGAAAATACAAATGATTTTGAATCATTTATATAACCATCAACTTTATTAATTTTCTCATTAACATATCCTCCAAATTTATTTCCTTCTTCATCTTCAATCATAATTATTAGATGTTCTTTATTCATTATTCTTTCATCAAATACTGATGTATTTTTATTCCAACCATCAATATCTGAATCAAATAGTATATTATTTATTCTTTTTTCTGTCAATTCTTCTATTTGGTTAATATACACCTCTTCCATTTTAATTTGATTTGATATTTATAAGTTTAAAATATGAATGTTTAAATAGTTAATCCACGTTATTAACACATCAAATCAGGTATTATTTTTATCACTATTCTATTTTAAATAAATGTTATTTTTATCATTTTTATAATAACAATAAATATATAATAATATTAATAATATAATAATAATAAAATTATAATAATGTTATTTTCTATAATTAGTTTTTATTTTGTATTTTTAGTATTTTTTTTAAAATAACAAAAAAAATAT